CCCACTGATTCCACTGATGTATGTACATCACCCATACATTTTGTACATACTGCTGTTGATGCTTTTGGACTTACTCTGGTATTTGATTTCTGGCCTATATTGTCATTTGCAATATGAGAAGCCCTAGGAGTGGGGAAGTATCCTAAAAGGTTGCCTGTCTTCTGAGCATGTCTGTTTGTTGATAGTTTCATATATTGTAGCACATCTATTTAAAAAAACCAACCAAACCAAACCAAACCAAAACCAACAAACAACGACAAAAAAAGCACCCGCAGGAGCTCCAAACACAAGCGAATATAAGATTTCAGCCCATGCAATGCACACAGTTTTGATTACCAGAGTAGCAGGCCGGTAAGCACCCCGTGGGCACCCACTGGCACTGCCCGTGCCCCATCTCCGCGCGGGGACTCGGATCTGCTGGCTGCTTCCTGCATTCTCTTTCAATTTAGGCACCTGTCTGCTGATTTCACAGTGTCTGCCCATGAATCCCGATTTGCAGATACATCTTCCTGACATATCACATTGCAGTGACATGGATCCTAAAGCATTGCAGCCACAGGGTATACAAAACAGCTTTTCTGAGGCCCAGAAGTAGCTGGGCTTTGAGAATGAAAAGTGAACACTGTTAGAAAGTGAAGATAATGAAACTACACCACATAAAAGAGTACAGGAATAAAGATAGTAGTAAACACAAAAGTAAACAAATATTAATTCCAATCAACTGCCGATATTGTATTAACTAGCTTGAGATAGTTGATGTGTACGTTACGCAATCTGTGCGAATTCCATTGATACCAATGATTTTTCTTTGAACGGACTCTTTAAATACTGTTGAAAATAGAGTGTGAGCAAACCATTTCAGAAATTACACCGCTTTAAAGGGTGAAAATGATCCTTGTGATTTCTGCAGAATTATTTATGTGCTTTAAATTACATACATGTGGAGTTGTTCTGAGGACACAGGCGTAACCCATGAGTCCTTATGCTGAGCTAGAGAAATGTGCAGCCAGCTATAACATATTCCTAAGCACCCTGAAGATAACTATGAGAAAGTTTATGAAACACTGTTTTTTGCAGTGATTTATGAGATAGCAAAACAATGTCAAGGCAAAAGACACTTTTACCAAAAAAGAGTATATTATTTGGGCATAGAAGAAGAATCCCTAAGAAAAAAAAAAAAAAACACATAAAAGCAGAACATTCACAGCAGAAGTAAACTAGCATCCTGCTTTTTTTGAAAATAAGATGCTATTAGACATTTTGCAACTTTCTTCATAGAGGGATTATCCCCCAGAGTTGCAATATTTTTAATGACTTTATTTATATCAAATATTCAGAATATAAAGTGTATATACCATATATAAAAATGTACTTATATGTACAGTGAGGCTTAAAATATATTAATTGCATGCAAATGCAATGTTCTGTGTTTTGTTCTAGAAAACCTTTAGAAAACATTTAGAAAACAGTCATTTTACCTTTCTGTACATAAGAACAACCCATATATGTTCTTTAAATGAAAAATGAACTAAAAAGAAAAACTATCCAAAACCAAACAGTATTTAGCTAAGACAGACAGGGAAGAAAGCTGGAAGGAAACACCGTTTCTTGTCACTCACCTTGCAGACGTCGCACCGGCGGCCGATCACATTGGCTTTACACTCGCACTGGCCCGTCCGAGAGTCACAGATCTCTGAGAAGGAGCCATTGATGTGACAGTGACAGGCTGCAGAAGAAGAAGAAGGAGCTGTTAATATGTTTTCTGAAGCTAAATTTAATAGCCAAATGTTTACAGCGCAGCTTTTGCCATCCTAAGAAATCCAGGAAGGCAGGCCTGAGTAAAGCAAGAAGATGGCACTCCCATACAGTGACAATACACATCAACCTACCCATATTAATGTGGAATTTTGCTCCAAATTATTGCAGTGAGAAATTTTGCCTCAAGTTCATAAACAGCTTGTTTTATATGCTCTTCTTAGATCAAACCAGGATGTTTAGCATATTACTGAGTATGTACCCTGAAACCTGGGAACGGACAGGGCAGCACTGAGATGAGAGAGAAAAAATTAAAGAAAAAAAGGGGGTACAGACCCTTACAAGGGTGTGTATGGGATGTAGGCATGGCAGGTGGGAGTGTTACTGCTCCACATGCTGGTCCTGCTGCCCTGGAGTCCAGTCCATGTTAAGGTACTAGGCTGAAACGTTGGTGGGCTGAGGATCCAAAACAAGGTTACCTCCAGGGACCCCGCTACAGGGGCAGACACCTCCTCAGCCCCCCAAGAGCTCCTCCTCACAGGCAGCACCCCTGGAGTAGAGCTGAAAGACAGACCAGGGATTATCTGCTACCGTGACTCTCTGGGACCTCTGTCTCAGCAACAGCATCACAGTTCCCAGAGGACACGTAAGCCAGTTGACCAGCCTAACCCATCACAACACTCTCTTAAGGATTTAAAATGGCAACGAAAAGGAACTTGAGGAAAATAACAATGCTTCTGGTGTCTAAATTCTTCTATTTTAGAAGAGAAATTTTGGGGAAGCTTTCTATCACCCTTTATGTTCTTCAACCACAATTCGTTTGGCATGCAGAGATTAGGATAAAAATCCCTCTAGCACTCACAGTAGAGAAGAGGGATGTGACTGGTGTCACAGGGACTATAACCACAGAGTCACCAATTCCATCAGCATGAGCTGGTTCCTGCACATGCCTTTTTTTCCCCCCAGAACGGAATGAAAACACATCTCTATACTGCTTATCAATCTACTCTGTAAACCTGGGCTCCAGTCCCCATTTTGCCTTCCTGCAGTGCCCTGACCACGTGTGTTGGGGTTTTTTTCCTCAACCTGACAACTTCATTTTAAGAAACACTTAAGAGTTCCAACAGTCACTACATGGCGGTCACATACTTGCATGTCACAAGGTGCCATTTGAGAAAAAGCAGTTATATTTTTTCTATATATAGACTATTACAACAAAAGCTTCCTCATTACTTTATTGGACTTGCTAATTTACAATTTCCAATTGTAAATTGAAAGGATTTTTTTGTTTTTCTCCCCACTTCTGAGGTATTCTGCAAAAGTTGTTTCTTTTAAATCAAAGTGACTTTATGGCTTGCCAGTCTATTCATGGCATTATTCCTCAAATGTTTGCAAAGATGTCTCATGTTCTGGAACAAGTAACAAAAATATGCTGGGCTCTCATATCAGTCTGGTAACACCTTCAGAGCTTTTGATCTCTTTCTGTTCTGCAATGTATTTTAAAAATGCAAACATTTAAAAACACTTCTGCTGCAATTAACATTGCTTCTCTTTTCCTTTTACTCTCATTTTTCAACTGCATCCATAATTTACCTCTTTCATCCTGTATACAACCCTCTTCTTTACCATAAAATTCATGTTTTAAAACTGCCGACACTCTGAACTGAACACAGCGATGACTGTCATAGTCACATGTTTTGACTATCTTTCTAATTAAAATGGTCAGTAGTGAAAGATGATGCAAAAGCTCAGACTCAACAAACCAAAATTCTCAATGCAAATTAACAGTATTTCACCAAACTTTTTATACAGACCTCAAAAAACAAAGTCAGTCTTATTTGAATTGTTTTGCTTATCAGGCATATGACACCACAAGAATCAAAAAGAAAATTTACACTGATTTTAAACAGATGAGTTTGTCCTATTTATATTTTATATTACCGCAAACAGCATACCATGTATTCTTAACTGAGCCACAGATGACTGAGTGGAATGCAGTGGTAAGGCAGAATTTGGAAGTCAAGACTTTGTTTTTCTTGGCTCTGGCAGTATGTACATACTGAAGAAACATACAGTCAGGGCTATTCATCTAATGAACTGTTACTCGATCTAATAAATTGCATTTATCTCACCTAAAGCCTTCCCATTCATTCATCTCTAGTGGGAAAATTAACTATTGTCCAAACCTCCAAATGGTTCTATAATACAACACAGTCTGTCAGAGAAATTTGTCTTCCTGTCTCCCAAAATGACACTGGTCAAGACCCTTCATTCTCTCTAGATTTATATAAATATTTATGACTGTGTATTTATAATCAACCTACACATTTATTCTCCTCCAACAGTAGTACCTATGCACTGTCACACAGGCACACTTGAATATTTGCTTTAATTCATCTCGTGTCACTTAGTTCTATTACCATCAGTACAACCTCCAGGTATTTGCTTCAGCACACTGTGCTGTTTCACACCAAAAACCAACCTGCTAGAATCAAATCAAATAAGCCTAGGACATTTGCTCATTGTTCTTAGATTTATGATTTTGTACAGATACACCACGAAATTCAGAGACGCTATACTGATATAAAGTTGTACAGTCATTTGAAATGGTTAATGTGAACGACAACAGCACTGTACTGAGAGAGAGCAAGAAACATGTCAAACAATAATTTGAAAGCAAAATTCATGCTTTGCAATACTCTTGGATTTGGCTTTTTAATAAGGAACGAAATTGAAAACAACAAAGTAAAGGCACAGTCCCTCTGATATTGTAGCTGCAGGGCAAACTTCATGGAAGTCTGCAAAGGAAATAAAAAATTATATGCAAAAAGAAAACCCACATGAAAGATGGAGAGTAGATGAATACAAGGTAACTGTGAGCACAAGGCTATGAATACATCAGGGGGCTCTCCTTGTCAGTGATACTAACAACAAAAGGAAGCTTGTAATTCTACATTAAATATGTATTTATTTTTAATATTTTTTTAATTGTGTGTTTTCTGAACTCTCCTCATATTACATCTCTTTCTTATGCAGCTGCCACTACTGTAAAAATGTTCAAAGCATCAGTCCTATCGATGCCTCAGGAATGGTGACAAGCTACTGGAAGCTAAGACTTTTGAAATACACTTTCTTTTAAATCACATTACACACTTAACACCCTAACTTATATGACATCATTCATCATGAACAGTTAACTCATGCAGAGAATATATGTGATTGTCCAACTTTTATCCAGCACTGTATAAAGTAGGTATAGAAAGCATTTACACAGGTATACGTCTTCACGGCTATCTGTGACTTTAAGTATATCAGTGTTTATTAGCCTTAGCTGAGAAACCTGGTGATGTTCTGCATCTCACTGGCTCCCATGCGGTCTTAGGTGGTCCAACAGAACTTAGCATTCTCACTGCCAAACTGCAAGCCACTAATAGAGTAAATCCTGGAAATGGATGACAGTGGGTCGGACTTCTGTGCTTGAAACATTGACAATAGCCCAGCTCTTTTACCTACATAGTTTTATCCTGATATAACACCTTTGCAGTCAATGCAGTTGCTCTGAGTTTATTCCAATGAATCAAAAAGGATTAAATCCTGTGACAATGAAATGAAATGCTTTGCTCTTTCAGGACAGTTTAGAACCTGTTGTATTCCATCCTCAGAATGAGGTGGAAGAGTATATGAAGAATCTTTTTAAGTTAAAAGCACTTGTTCTGCCTAATAGCTGTGTTCCAAATTGCGCCAGCAATGGCTCAGAGAGCACCACTGCCTCCTACAGAAGCAAAAGCTCCTGTTCCTACCAAATCTTCCATCTGCTCTCAACAATTTTTTGCAGTCACTATGGGGAAGTATGAGCTGGGGCTGATACTTAAACAACATGCCACCACTCAGCTGAGAAGTGGTAGTTTGTTGCCAGCTTCCTCCAGGGCACCTTAGAAAATTTGTCAGGAGATTTCAGACTCTGCTTTGCAGGAGGGCAAGAGAATCTTGCCCTGTAAGAGGCAGCAGCTCCCAGCTCTTACTGAGGTCACGTAGGTGGGAAGGAGGTCACAAGTGCTGCCAGAGTTGGACCCTACAGTAACTGAAATATCATTCCCTCCTTTCAGCACCAATCTCACTAGTTAATGGGATTTCCTTGGATGGCTTATAGTGTTTTTAGTGAATTGTTTTCATTTATTTGTATTTATTTTTGTAGATCTGACATTTAGTATAACCTTTTGCATCCATGCAATGCTCCGCTCTCCCAGGTTTTTTCCATGTCTGCTTCATTACTGCTTCAACTACAGCAGGAAGTTTTTTAATAGGTTCTTCTTTCTGTTTACTTTGCAGCTTCCCTTTCCACATGCAGATGCAAGTAAAACACTATTATTATTAGAGGTGTAAGTACATCGTATCATTCTCTTGCTCACACATACAGAGTCACAGTTTTCCTCTCAGGAACACAGTTATAGGATAGTTCAATGCTGTCAGGAGCAGTAAAAGTTCATGACTTACGTTGACAGTTCCTTGCATCAAGAGCATCGCCAAAATATCCATCAGCACACCTCTCACAATATTGGCCTGTTGTACCTGGCTTACATCTCAGGCAAGCACCAGACAAGCTGTCACAGCTGCCAGGAATGGAGAAGTCAAGATTGTCATTACACTGGCACGGCTGGCACGATCCTCCTGGTATTAGAGGTTGTCCAAAATAGCCTTCTGCACACCTAAGGTAAAAGACATCACCAGTCAGGACCCTTAAATAATCCTCTTACTAGAAATATTTAATTTTGTTGCCTCACTAATAACCAAAAATAATTTGATCTTCTTTCAAGCATTTCTTAAGTGTCTTTTTTCTCTCTCCCTCCTTCTCCTTTTTAACAGCACTGTAGATACAGTACCAGTTGAAATCCTGCCAGTTCTGCCAGTAATTAGATTTCAGTGGGAGAAAAATCTTGTCGCTGGCACTGAAGACGAGACAAAGCATAGTAAGAAATCTGTCTTTTGGCACACTAGAGGAATTCAGGTCCATGTTAGATAGGCTCTGTATCTCAGCATATCATGTCTAAATGTTCTGTACTCATTTACCAGCAAGCCTGATGATTTTTTCCCTCTACCTTAAAAACTTGTTTAGTTTAGAAAAACAGGTTTAGAAAGCAATAGAGACATAAACTTGTTTACCTAACAAGATCCTCCCCTGACTTAGCCTTCCCCGATCTACTGCATGGTCAGATTTGTTTAATGAATGGATTGCTAATCTCTGTGTATAGACAGGTAACAAAAAGATTGCTCATTATCACAGGAACTATGTTGATGTGTACTACATCTTTCATATTTTAGCAGAGATATTTAAAAATATCACCTTTTTTTCCACCTTGCCCACCAGCAATTTCCTGTAAGTACCATGTAAAACCGGTTAGTGAATCTGACCTAACATGACTGTGTATCTAAAGCAAATTTCTACTCATCTCGCAGCCTATTTCCTATTTATATTCTGGTCTGCTTTCCCTTTCCATTACATTTGCTCACACTTCACAGTAAGAGCAACTTGTAGATAGTGAAGAAAAAGAAGAAAAATTGCCCAGTTCCAGCTAATGAAGTTATTCATGTGTATCTCAGATGAACTCCAATTAGTGTAAAGAAAACAGAAAGTACATAAAACACATTGCATAAATCAATGTTTCCTCCTATTTTGAAGTCAGTTTGAATGCAGTTCTAATGTACGCAGATATTCTCTCTGCTTTGTAATGGTACTGGATGGTACGGTTGGGCAAGGATTTTGCATGCCACCCTAATACGGGAATGCAAAGCTTCACTATGCTTTCACTCTTGTCCCTTTATGCTCACCAAGTTCATCCTTTTCCTTGCATCCAGAATATCTAATGAAGCTTCCACCTGGATCCTAAACAAAGCTGTCTAAACATTAGTTATGTATTATTCAGTATCATTAGCAAAGATTATAAAAATGGATAACTGAGACTAGGGAGGAAATTATAGTTGGATCTAATCAAACAGTTCTTGGTAGTAAGATATTACACAAACTAGGATTTTTTCCATTCTCTAAAAATACCCATGATGCAGACCGTAGATGAATAACATGTATAAATAGTCCAGTGGTTTGGGTGTCTGTAAGCACTCAAGAACATGAGTAAAATTTTCACAATCCAGCCCACTGTGCTTTACTCCTTTAGCATAGGCATCTCTCACAATTACCTCCTCATAGCAACAATACTTCAAAATCTTGTCATTAGAATAATTCAGGCATTCTATTTTCAGAACCTGTCATGAATGTAGCGACATATTGCACCTCCCTGTATTTCCTGCAAAGAAATGGATATTTTTTCCTTGGATGGAGGATATCTCAGCGATTACAAAAGACTGATTTTTAGCTTACTTTTGCCAAAACAAATTGGCTTTTTTTCAGCGATGATGTCTCAGTTACAAAGGCCAGGAATGTCTCTTAATATGTAACAATTAATAGCCATGTTTTATCAAAGCCAAAAAATAACTGGATAATTTATGCAGTTATCTTATTTTGCGTAAAACAGATGATGTCTGAAGTTCACCCACACTTTCCGAAGGTCTTTCTCACTTATTACTGGCGTATTTTTCATAACTCTATATCATTTGGTACTACTAATCTATTTGACTTCACTTAATGTGTATTCATTTTGCTCTTTCACTTTCATTTAGAGCTTCATTCTGTATCTGATAGCATTCACAGAAACTTACCAAGCAATTTGCAGAAAAAAAACTCCAGGGCTTTGGGAGAAATGCACTGCTAATCATTTCCTTCTATTAATAGCAGGAGATCTTGGTAACTCTTTGTATTCTTATCAGTTTAGACATTGCTAATCAAAATCAGCAAAACCCACTACCATCGCATAGCTGTGTTCTACTTATATACATACATAACCTCAAATTCAGATTCAAGATCATCCTGAAAGTAGGCGTAAACCAGTTAATCTTAAAAGAAAACTGTGTGCCTGTATTTATGTGTAAATTCTTCCACTTTTTCTCCCGCTTCTCCTGAATTTGCAGGGGAAGATTAAAAAAAATCTGCTTTCACTAATTCCATCTGTATTCCCTTAAGGACATTTCTTCTTCAGCTACTTACAATACTCAGACTAGGGTGAGGAAAAGTAGGAATGAACCAAGAGGAAGAGCCAACCAGAAAAGCTGGTGGCATGGAAAATTACATTTACGTATTACACAAAATACATGTCTAAATAAATGACTGCTAAGTACAACGGGACCTCTCTGAGATTAAAAAAGAAATAAAAATAGGAGTAAAAGCAGTGAAGAAAGATTGTTTCTGTATTTATCTTTCTTCCTCTATGTTCGGCTTTCCCCCCAAATGCAGGTGTGTCTGTGACTGACACTTTGTTTTTATTTGGCATAACTGGTGCCAAATACAGGGCTACTATATCAATACATGCGTATGTATGTCTGCTGGGTCTGGCTGGGATGGAGTTAATTTTCTTCATAGCAGCCTGTATGGTGCTGTGTATATACACATATATGCACACAAACACATGCCTACTTTATACATTTCTTTATATTTACTGGAAAAAAACCAAACAAACCAACCTTGAGACAGAGTTAATTTGGGCTGCAAATCCAAACACTTTAAAATGTGGAAATATTTTTACAGTCGCTTTGAAACTAATGTGCATTCAACCTGTGTACAAAAGCAGGTGAAAGCCCTGTGGGGAAACGGCTTGTGAACAGGCAGTGAAAAATCTTAACTCAGGTGCACAACACAGATGCTATTGTTGTATGACCAACTATACATCTTGCATTTTCTAACTTCAGAGTGCCTACCTTTGCAAGCTGTAAACAATCCTGCATAACACACTTGTATCAAAACTCCTGAATGTTTGACCCTTTTCCCATCAGCACTGCAACAGAGACTTGTACTTCTGCCACTAGTGGAAGAATTATATTAGCTAGAAGGAGCAGCAGGGTGAAGCCAAGCGACTCACTTCTAGGTCACTGGAACCACATTCATAAATGAAGGAGTGCCACAGGAGAAGCTAGGCTCTCACCCATTTTGCTTCTTTTCCCTAAAACTGTGTGCTCTTGTCTGTATCAAGACTGTGTCGTTGGAAAATGCATACGATCATGGTGTAAATGTGCAGGGCCCCAAGGACAGCTTTTTGACACTCTCATACACCCTCTCCATGGAGTTAGGAGAGTGTCTGTCCTACCTTATACCCCTTGGGAAAGTGAGCAGTGAGCAAATGAGAAACCCAAGTCTAATTTTCTGGGGAAAAAGATTAAACAAGGAAGCTGGGCTTTCTCTACCATTATAGATAGATGGTAACATGGTAAATCCCAACACAGATTATATATGCAACTATTTTGATGGTGTTATGAGCTGGACCCCTAAGAGCACTAAGTAATTTTGGCAACATTTTTCTGAAGAGTTCAAGTGAGAGAAGTAGCAAATTTTTTTTACATTTTACAACTCAGATATGTGTGTGTGTGTGTGTATATATATGTATCTATCTACCTATCTTATCTCCCTAGGGGGCAGAAGATGATATTGGAGGCTAAATAAGCACAGTACTGTGTATGCTTACTTCATGATACTTGGTATGTCATGATAATCTAGGACTGTTCAGCTAATGAATCATGTGGCTCAGATCACTTGTCACTTTGCAGTTGCGAAAATGAAAGAGAATTTCACGTAAACTCCTTTTAGCAATTATATAATCACTATTAATAGCAAAAGGCAACATGCTTTCTCCTGTTCATTATTATTGACAGCTGTGGGCATTTCCAAGCAACTTGTTACAATTAAAAGCAAATAGTTCTATGAGCATTGGAATTAATGGCCTAATTTCCAGTGGATTTATACCTCATGGTTACAAGGCTAAGGGCTGATTATTTGCTGCAGGATGTTGCTATTCAGCAGGGAGTAATCCCTCAGGCTACAGCAGTGCTTTTTCCTTGCCCTGTGAAAGTTTTCTTATGGGCAGAACATTTAATAATCTCGCTCATTCTCTCTTTCTCTCTGTATTCTCTGCTGTTTAATCAGGTGTGAGTTCACACAGTATTCTCGCCCTTAGCTATGACATGTTCTGATTTATTAACCTCTATTCAGCCACTTCTTTTCACAAAACCTTCAGGAACAATTATTATCTTTGAGACCTTCTACTCTTCTGTCGAATTTGGTTGAAATTGACCTACAAGTTCAAATGTCTTTGCAGGCAGGCAGCCAGACGTGCACAAAAAGATCACACTAGCCTCATTTCCTTAGGAAATCAGGCTAAAATCCAAGCCTGCCACTTATTCAGATTCTGTCCTATTGCATCTACAGCCTGTGCTCCACTCAGAAATAGCACTTGTTGCTAATGGAAGCTGTCAATGACCCTGCATTGACGAACTGCCACCAAAGTGCTCTTGATGTGATTTATTTCTGCTGTCATTAACTTCACAGCCCACTAGCTGAAAGAAGGTGATGACTTCCCAGACAGACAGGAAAAGACAGGCAGAAATAGCACACAGCAGGAGCAGACTCAGTGATGATGGGTGGAAGCAGGTGACAGCCTGCGCTCTCACTTTAAGACAGATACAGCACAACAGGGGATTTAAAAGGAAGTAGTTGTAAATGTGAATTGGAAAGACAGGACTAGAGGGTGATTCACAGCGTATGGTTAGGTTCCAGATTTTCTGGTTGGCTCTTCCTTTTGGTTCATAAAAAAACAGTCTGAGTATTGTA